ATGGTAATAGTGAGGAAAACCCAGACAACCCACAGCCTTCCACCTCGGTGCTGGCCATCTTGTTCACGTTCAGTTGTACCAGAATCAAAGAGGAAACTCCTATTTTCCAAAATCCAGATCAGAGTGACATTGTGATGATAACCAGACAGTACTAAGCTCACTCTGGTGCAGACTCTTGTTCCAGTTAGTTGACCAGATCAAAGAGGAACTCATTTCAAATCAGATAGATGTGAGCATGGTGAGATGGATAGTGAAGAACTAGAAGCCTCAACTTGTTCCAAGAATGGAGGAGAGGAGGAGGAGGCAGAGGAGAGGAGGAGGAGAGGAGGAGGAAGGAGGAGGAGGAGGAGGAGAGAGAGAGGAGAGGAGGAGGAGGGGAGGAGGAAGAGAGGAGGAGGAGGAAGAAGAAGAGAGAGGAGGAGAAGAAGAAATACTAATATAACAATAATACATAATAATAATAATAATAATAATAATAATAATAATAAATAATAGGTAATAATAATAATAATATGTAATAATAAATGTTCACCCATGACAGTAACAAGATAAGGGGAGATAACATCTGATAAGTGCTGACGTTTGATGAGGGTAAATGAGGGTAGAGCTGATGCCAAAAGATGAGATAACATCCCTCCCTTTGTTTTTGCTGGTATACTAACATTTCTGTCTGTCTATTTGCCTGTCTGTCAAGCTCCCTGTCTATCCGTCTAGCTCTCTGTCTCAGAGAGCCACAAGACTGTGTCATCACTTTTACTCACATCTTCAAGCAGAGTATAGCACTTTGTCTGGGTTTCTTGGGTTATCCTAGGTAATTTATACTATGTATACTTGTATTTATGTGTACCTGTGAGACAGAGATAAAAAGACAGATAGAATGAGGGAGAAAGATAATTAGATAGAATGGAGGGAAAGGGGAAACAGCATCCGACCCCATTGTTTTGACAGGCGGGAGGGGGAGTGAGTAATGAGACAATATGTCATTTTGACAGCTGCCGACTCCTGGTAATTTACACTATGGAGGAGGAGAAAGGAGAAGGAGGAAGAGTAGGGGAAGAGGAAGAAGAGGAGGAGGAGGAAGAGGAGGAGGAGGAAGAGGAGTGGAGGAAGAGATAAGAGGAAGAGAGAGGAAGAGGAATAGTAGGAGGAAGATTAGGGGGAAGAGGAGAAGAGGAAGAAGAGGAGGAGAGGAGAAGAGGAGAGAAGAGTAGGAGGAAGAGGAAGAGAGGAGGAGGAGAGAGGAGGAGGAGAAGAGAGGAGAGGAAGAGGAGAGGAGAGAGGAAGAGTATGAGGAAGAGTAGGGGAGAGGAGGAAGAGTAGGGGGAAGAGGAGGAAGAGGAGAAGAGGAGGAGGAGGGTGGAACACTAGTACACTGGTACTGGTACACTAACATTTCTGTCTGTCTATTTGTCTGTCTGTCAAGCTCCCTGTCTATCTGTCTATCCGTCTAGCTCTCTGTCTCAGAGAGCCACAAGACTGTGTCATCACTTTTACTCACATCTTCAAGCAGAGTATAGCACTTTGTCTGGATTTCTTGGGTTATCCTAGGTAATTTATACTATGTATACTTGTATTTATGTGTACCTGTGAGACAGAGATAGACAGACAGATAGAAAGAGAGAGACAGATTGAAAGAGATAGAATGAGGAGAAAGATAAAACACCATTGTGTATGACACCATGTTTCAGAGTTCCACAAGCTGCAGAACTAATAGGAATATGTTCAGTGACTGTATATTGGTATATATATTATAGAACAATAATAATAAACAATGTTTTGTATTGTTTGTTTTTGTAAACAAGTTTTGTAAACAATATATTGATAATTATGTTTGTGTGCTTATTGTGTTGTATACAACGAGTGTATATATGTACATTGCACCTTACTTTGGTCTCATAGGCCACATAAGTTATGTGAAAAAATAAAATAGTGAAAGAAACAACAAACCTTCAAATACAAGTAAACTAAAGTTTACCGGGTGAGCGGTCATTCGCCGCTGTTGCCATACGCGGCTCAATTTTCTGCAAACTAATCATGCACCATATCTCCGTAAGTATTGATGGGGTAAATTATTTTTAGTTTATCCAATAAATGTTTAGAAAAAAAAACTCTATTTTTTTTCATAAGAAAAAAAATTTTTTTTTTTTTTAAATTTGGGTGCCTACCCTGTGTAACGAGTTTCGTAGAGGGCCATTCGACCCTCAATAGGGGTTTAAGCAGAAATCGACATGCTTGATGCAAAATCCGAGCTGGACCCGTTTCTGTGACCCAAGTTCTTCGTACGGCATAAAAATACACAACTTACCGAGATCCGGTCATAACTCCGAGTTGTCGATAAACGAGTAAGTCGGTAAGCAAGGAGAGGCTGTAATAGGATTAGTCTGCCCAAAATGCCCCAGCATGACAGTGACTTTGTTTGCACTTAGCAAATCAAAATGTAATTACACAATGTAACCTTTACAAAGAAATAAATCTTTCAATTTTTTACATCTCCCACTGAGGCAGATTATTTATTTTTATTATTATTTTATACAATCACTATTATAATTACTATACTGTATGTACTTCAAATGATATACTGCACAAAACAATTTAAAATACCAATAAATGAATAAATAAAAAAACAAACTTAATATACAGTTACAGAAATATAAATTTGCATCCAAGCCAACCTACTTCTTAGTGTCCTTGGTTTCCTTTGTTTCTTCTTTATCTTCCGCCGTCTGGAGCTGGCCTCTGGGCTATATTTATATATTTGTTCAACATAATCTTTAAAGGCAATGGAGATGGGTTCATTGTTAGATTTAGAGTTGTGATCCACCATACCTTGATACAAAGTAACGAGGGCATTCCATCGCCCCTGAACTTGATCTGCTGTGAATCTGTTAAAAAAAAAAAAAAATACTAGATCTACAAGAAATATTATATTGCAAACCAAAATTGATCAGTTATGGAAGGAGAAAAGAGAATATGAATGTGTAAATTCAAGAATTATGTGGATTAAAGTAAAGGTTGGATGCGAGAAGTGGGTCATAATAAGCGTGTATGCACCTGGAGAAGAGAGGAATGCAGAGGAGAGAGAGAGATTTTGGGAGATGTTAAGTGAATGTATAGGAGCCTTTGAACCAAGTGAGAGAGTAATTGTGGTAGGGGACTTGAATGCTAAAGTAGGAGAAACTTTTAGAGAGGGTGTGGTAGGTAAGTTTGGGGTGCCAGGTGTAAATGATAATGGGAGCCCTTTGATTGAACTTTGTATAGAAAGGGGTTTAGTTATAGGTAATACATATTTAAAGAAAAAAGGAAAAATAAGTATACACGATATGATGTAGGGCGAAATGACAGAGTTTTTGGATTAGATTGGAGTAAAAGACTTTTGATAACTTCAGGATGTACATTTTTAAAGGGGGCCCCACAGAATATAAATCACTTTCTAGTTGTAGCTACACTGAGATAAAAGTAATGGGAAAAAGGGAATAAAGCATCAGGGAAGAGGAGGGAAGGTTTAAAAACTAAAAAGGAGCAGTTAGGGTAAGATATAAACACTATGGGGGATAGATGGGTAATAGAGCATGGGAAAAAGGGTCGAAGGGGTATGGGTTATTTAAAAAATGTATGTTAAGGGGTTTCACAAATTTGTGGTTACAGGAAAGGGGGTGCGGAGGGAAGGGGACGTTTGGTGGAATATGATGAAAAAGAAAATAGTAAGGGAGAAAAAAGTACATATGAGAATTTTTTACAAGTAAAGTGATGAAAGGGAGGGAAATATAGGGAGAAAAAGAGAGAAGTTAAGAGAGGGTGAACAATTAAAAAGAGAGCAAATGAAGAGTGGGTGAGATGTTAAACAAATTTTGTTGAAAATAAAAAAAATTTTTGGAGTGAGTTTTAACAATTTAAAAAAAGCCTAGAGAACAAATGGATTTGTCATTAAAAATAGGAAGGGAGTTATTAAATGGAGTTAAGTATTTTGGGAAAATGGAAGGAATATTTTGAGGAATTTTTAAAAAGTTTATGAAAAGGGGAAACTGTATTTCGTGAAAAGGCAAGGAGGGAAAAACATCTTGTAGAGTGAGAAGAGCCAGTTGTGAGTGGGGGGAAGTTCGTGAGGGATAGTAAAATGAAAGGGGTAAGGCAGCCGGGATTTAAAGGGGTAAAGATAGAAATGTTAAAAGCAGGGGGGGAATAGTTTTGGGGTGGGGGGGCAATATTAAAAAAATGTAGGAAGAGGGTAAGGACCTAGGGGTTTGGGGAGAGCAGCATTTTCCTTTGTATAAGGCAAAGGGGATAAAAGAGAGTGCAAAAATTATAGGGGATAAGTCGTTGGTGTCCTGGAAAGTGTATGTAAGTTATAATTGAAAGATTTAAAAGTAAGCGGGGAAAAGGATAGCAGAGAAAAAAGGAGGCTTTAGGAAAGGGAGGGGGGGTGTGGACCAGTGTTTACAAAACATATAAGGAACAGATTTTGATAAGGGTAAAAGGTCTTTGTGGCATTTATGGATTTGGAAAAGGCGTATGACAGGGTGGGTAGGGGGGAATGTGGGAGATTTGCAATGTTTGGTTAGGAGTAGGTTACTGAAAGCAGGAAGAGTTTTTACGAGGGTAGGAGCTCAAGTTAGAGTAGTGGAAAGAGGGAAATTTTTTCCCAGTAAAAGTAGGCCTTAGACAAGGATGTGTGATGTCACCGTGTTGTTTTAATATATTTTTTAATGGGTTTAAGAAATAAATGCGAGGGTCTTGGCAAGAGGGGTGAGTTAAAAGATAAAGAATCACACACAAAGTGGGGGTTTTTTCACAGCTGCCTTTGCTGATGACCTGTGCCTTGGGGGATTCTGAAGAGAAGTTGCAAGAGATTGGTGATGAATTTTGGGGGGGGGGGGAGGGGGGCAAAAAAGAAAATTAAAGGTGAATACAGGAAAGATAGGTTATGAGGGAAAAAAAAAAGATAGGGGATGGGGGGGGGAGAATATCAGATTGGGGGGAGAGAGTATGGAGGAGGGGAACTATTTTAGATATTTGGGAGTGGACGTTCAGCGGGTGGGGCCCCTAAAGATGAGGTGAATCATAGAATTGATGGGGGAAAAAGAGTGAGTGGTGCACTTAGGAGTCTGTGGAGACAAAGAACTTGTCCTTGAGGCAAAGGGGGGAATGTATGAAGTATAGTTTTACCAACGCTCTTATAGGGGTGTGAAGCGTGGGTGATGAATGTTGCAGCGAGGAGAAGGCTGGAGGCAGTGGAGATGTCATGTCTGGGGGCAATGTGTGGTGTGAATATAATGCAGAGAATTCGTAGTTTGGAAGTTAGGAGGAGGTGGGGGATTACCAAAACTGTTGTCCAGAGGGCTGAGGAAGGGTTGTTGAGGTGGTTCGGACATGTAGAGAGAATGGAGCGAAACAGAATGACTTCAAGAGTGTATCAGTCGTAGTGGAAGGAAGGCGGGGTAGGGTCGGCCTGGGAAGGGGTTGGGGGGAGGGGGTAAAGGAGTTTTGTGTGCGGGGGGCTTGGACTTCCAGCAGGCATGCGTAGCGTGTTTGATAGGAGTGAATGGAGACAAATGGTTTTTAATACTTGACGTGCTGTTGGAGTGTGAGCAAAGTAACATTTATGAAGGGATTCAGGGAAGCCGGCAGGCCAGACTTGAGTCCTGGAGATGGGAAGTACAGTGCCTGCACTCTGAAGGAGGGGTGTTAGTGTTGCTGTTTAAAAACTGTAGTGTAAAGCACCCTTCTGGCAAGACAGTGATGGAGTGAATGATGGTGAAAGTTTTTCTTTTTCGGGCCACCCTGCCTTGGTGGGAATCGGCCGGTGTGATAATAAAAAAAAAAAAATAAAAAAAGATAAAAACTAGAAAAAGTTATTCCAAGATCTAACTTGTTACTCATTCACAATTTTGACTTACTTGTATCCATAAGCCAGAAGATTCTGTCGAATTTGATCCCACACCCTGTATCTCGTGTGGGTTCCCCCAGTCTGACCACGACATTTGAGTCCACTTGCTTGAAGGTGCTTAATTAAAAGCACTGTGGCAGAAGAATCCCAAATTCCTTTAAAATAAACGGATATTACAATAATGCAAATAACATGTCAATGTGTGAAAAACAATTTATGCACAAATAAACATATATATATGAATTTATATACAGTACTGTACCATACACTGCCAAGCATTCATGTTAAAATTCATAGGATGCTTATTCAACTACAAGTTAGACTTACCATGGCTCTCAATTTTATATTTCAAAAATGATACAGTGGACCCTTGGTTTTCGTGATTAATACGCTCCAGAGGGTCTGCTGAAAACCAAAATTCACGAAAACTGAAACCATTATCCCCATAAGAAATAATGTAAATCCAATTAATCCATTCCAGACACCCAAAAGTATAATATCCGGGGTTACTTCCCTTCTTTGTTTTTTAATGGCACTAGGACCAGCTTGAGTCATGGAACCCCTGTCGCACAAAATATCTGTCCAGAGAGCTCTGCTTCTGGCATCTCTAAGATTTGTCTGAAGTGCGAAAAGGTTTTGTCACTGAACATGTTGTAGATATGGCTCGTTTCAGCTTGGTCAGGGTGATATTTTTCCACAAAAGTTTGCACCTCATTCCACTTTGCACAAATGTCCTTAATCACTGGAGAAGGCACCTTCTTTCCTCTCTCTTTCTCCTCCTCTGAAGCAATTTCTTCAGCTGTGGTCTGTTGCTGTTCCAGGTGAAGGTCTTGCAGCTCTTCAGTGGTTAGCTCGTCCCTGTGGTCCTCCCATCCTTGCCACTCACATCCAACCCCATAGACTTCCCCAATGCCACATTAGATTCCACAACAAGCAAAGGGTTGACAGGGTCAGCCTCAAACCCTTAAAAGTCTTGAACACATTCTGGCCACAATTTTCTCCAAGCAGAGTTCAAAGTCCTAGAAGTCACTTCATGCCAAGCCTTACCTATAAGGCTTATGCAATGGAGGATATTGAAGTGATCCCTCAAGAACTCTCTTAGGGTCAATTCAGTGTCCGAGGTCACTTCAAAGCACCTTTGAAACACTGCTCTGGTGTAGAGTTTTTTGAAGTTTGAAATGACATGCTGGTCCATGGGTTGGATAAGAGGAGTGGTGTTAGGAGGCAAGAACTTCACTGTTATAAAACTTAAGTCCCTAAAGAATTGGTCTTCCAAGTCTAGAGGATGAGCAGTAGCACTGTCCAGTACTAGGCGGCACTTGAGTGGCAATTTATTTTCCAGGAGGTATTTTTTCACACTCGGGCCAAACACATCATGGACCCACGTTTGAAAATTAGCCTAGTGACCCAAGCCGTATTATCTTTCCACATCACACACACTTTGCTCTTGAGGACTTGATCACTGATTTTCAGAGTGATACACCAGTAGTAAAGGCTTCACTTTGAAATCCCCACTAGCATTACCACAGAACGAGAGAGCCTGTCTTTCATAGGCTTGTGTCCTGGCAGTGCCTTTTCTTCCTGCGTGATGTAGGTCCTCTTTGGCATTTTCTTCAAAAAGAGGCCTGTTTTGTCACAACTGAACACTTGTTTGGGAAGGAATCTGTCAGCCTCTACATACTCCTTGAATTCATGCACAAATTTTTCAGCCGCATGTTTGTCTGAACTTGCAGCCTCACCATGCCTTACAACACTGTGAGTGCACTTTGCTTCTTGAAATTTTCGAACCAGCCTTTGCTGGCCTTAAATTCACTAACATCAGCAGTCGTCGCAGGCATTTTCTTTAAGAGATCGGCATGCAACTGCCTTGCCTTTTTGCAAATTATCAACTGTACAACACTATCTCCTGCTCAATGTTTTTGGTAGATCCACACCAACAACTTCTCAACATCTTCCATTATTTGCAATCTCTGTTTCATTAGCACATTTACCCCTTTCACAACATCAGCTTCCTTGATTTCCTCTTTTCTTCCCCACAATGGAAGTGATCATTGAATGGGGCTTCCCGTACATCCTGGCAAGCTTGGCCACACATACGCCACTTTCATATTTTCCTATTTCTTTTTCTAATTCCATCATGTTTCTCACCTTCTTTACCAAAGGACTAGCACTAGGAGCTTTCTTTGGGCCCCTGGTGGCTTATTTAGCAGTTGCAAGTACAAAAAAAATGGATTATTACAAAATGTTTCATATGAACGTGGGGGGTGATACTCACTCGCTGAGAAACAAAACAATGCCAGACTGACTCTTGAGTGCATCTGTGGGAGGCTTTGTATGCATGAGGCCACTAGGACAAGTATCGTACAACTGCCAAAATCCAGGGGAGATCATGAAAACCAATGCTATATTTTGACAAAAAAAAGTTGCCGATAACCAAAATTCACGAAAGCTGAGATTCACAAAAACCAAGGGTCCACTGTATTTTGACTTGTGAAAAACTATCAATAATCTTTAACCCTTTCACGGTTTCCGACGTACAGTGGACCCTCGCCTAACGTTGGCATCAAATAACGTCAAATCCGCCTAGCAATACATTTCAACGCAAAAATTTTGCCTCGCCTAGCACTAAAAAACTCACTCAATGCTATTCTTCTGAGACGCGTCCATGTGTGGCCTGAGCCAGCCTCACTTGTTCCGCCAGTGGCATTGTTTACAAGACAGGGTGGCCGGATGCATGCATACATTCGATACATTCTGTATTATTCCATAATTTATAGTGCTTGTAACTACTAAATAAGTCATCATGGGCCCAAAGAAAGCTTCTAGTGCCAACCCTGTGGTAAAAAGGGTGATAAATACTATCGTACCACAGTCAGCTGCTGGTGCACCACGGTCAGCTGTTGCTGGACCAGTCAGATGTTGCTGGATCAGTCAGCTGTTGCTGGATGTCAGTTGTTGCTGCACCACGGTCAGCTGTTGCTGGACCAGTCAGCTGTAGCTGCACCACGGTCAGCTGTTGCTCGACCAGTCAGCTGTTGCTGGATCAGTCAGCTGTTGCTGGATGTCAGCTGTTGCTGCACCACGGTCAGCTGTTGCTGGACCAGTCAACTGTTGCTGGATCAGTCAGCTGCTGCTACACCACAGTCAGCTGCTGCTACACCACAGTCAGCTGCTGCTGGACCAGTCAGCTGTTGCTGGACCAGTCAGCTGCTGCTGCACCACGGTCAGATGTTGCTGGACCAGTCAGCTGTTGCTGGATCAGTCAGCTGTTGCTGCACCACAGTCACCTGTTGCTGGACCAGTCAGCAGTTGCTGGATCAGTCAGCTGTTGCTGGACCAGTCAGTTGTTGCTGGATTACTCAGCTGCTGCTGTACCATGGCCAGCTGTTGCTGGACCAGTCAGCTGTTGCTGGATCACTCAGCTGCTGCTGCACCATGGTCAGCTGTTGCTGGATCAGTCAGCTGCTGCTGGATCAGTCAATTGCTGCTGGATCAGTCAGCTGCTGCTGCACCACAGTCAGCTGTTGCTGGACCAGTCAGCTGTTGCTGGACCAGTCAGCTGTTGCTGGACCAGTCAGCTGTTGCTGGATCAGTCAGCTGCTGCTGCACCATGGTCAGCTGTTGCTGGACCAGTCAGCTGTTGCTGGACCAGTCAACTGTTGCTGGATCAGTCAGCTGCTGCTGCACCATGGTCAGCTGTTGCTGGACCAGTCAGCTGTTGCTGGATCACTCAGCTGCTGCTGCACCATGGTCAGCTGTTGCTGGACCAGTCAGCTGTTGCTGGATCAGTCAGTTGCTGCTGGATCAGTCAGCTGCTGCTGCACCAGTCAGCTGTTGCTGGACCAGTCAGCTGTTGCTGGACCAGTCAGCTGTTGCTAGACCAGTCAGCTGTTGCTGGATCAGTCAGCTGCTGCTGCACCATGGTCAGCTGTTGCTGGACCAGTCAACTGTTGCTGGATCAGTCAGCTGCTGCTGCACCATGGTCAGCTGTTGCTGGACCAGTCAGCTGTTGCTGGATCAGTCAGCTGCTGCTGCACCACAGTCAGCTGTTGCTGGACCAGTCAGCTGTTGTTGGATCAGTCAGCTGCTGCTGGATGTCAGCTGTTGCTGCACCACAGTCAGCTGTTACTGGACCAGTCAGCTGTTGCTGCACCATGGTCAGCTGTTGCTGGACCAGTCAGCTGTTGCTGGATCAGTCAGCTGTTGCTGGATCAGTCAGCTGTTGCTGGATCCGTCAGCTGTTGCTGGATCCGTCAGCTGTTGCTGGATGTCAGCTGTTGCTGGACCAGTCAACTGTTGCTGGATCAGTCAGCTGCTGCTACACCACAGTCAGCTGCTGCTGGACCAGTCAGCTGTTGCTGGATCAGTCAGCTGCTGCTGCACCATGGTCAGCTGTTGCTGGACCAGTCAGCTGCTGCTGCACAACGGTCAGATGTTGCTGGACCAGTCAGCTGTTGCTGGATCAGTCAGCTGCTGCTGCACCACAGTCAGCTGTTGCTGGATCAGTCAGCTGCTGCTGCACCACGGTCAGCTCTTGTTGGACCAGTCAGCTGTTGCTGGATCAGTCATCTGCTGCTGCACCACAGTCAGCTGCTGTTGCACCACCATCAGCTGTTTCTGAACATCATGACTGGTCCCGAACCTGTCCATCTAGCCTGAACGTCTCGGCTGCCTTGCTGTCATTGTTTACAAGCCAGGGTGGTCAGTCGTTTGCATACATTCGATACATTTTGTATTATTCCATTATTTATAGTGCTTGTAACTACTAAATAAGTCATCATGGGCCCAAAGAAAGCTTCTAGTGCCAACCCTGTGGTAAAAAGGGTGATAAATACTATCGTACCACAGTCAGTTGCTGCTGCACCACGGTCAGCTGTTGCTGGATCAGTCAGCTGTTGCTGCACCAGTCACCTGTTTCTGGACCAGTCAGCTGTTGCTGGACCAGTCAGTTGTTGCTGGATCACTCAGCTGCTGCTGTACCACGGCCAGCTGTTGCTGGACCAGTCAGCTGTTGCTGGATCACTCAGCTGCAGCTGCACCACGGTCAGCTGTTGCTGGACCAGTCAGCTGTTGCTGGATTAGTCAGTTGCTGCTGCACCACAGTCAACTGTTGCTGGACCAGTCAGCTGTTGCTGGACCAGTCAGCTGTTGCTGG